TTATGTTTTTAAGACTAACTTTGACCGAGCATTAGATAACAGCTATGGTGATCTGAATGTAAAAATATGGGAACAGGTTCAACAAAGGCATGAAAAGTTTTCAGTAAGAAACTTGAAATTACTGTAATTCTGATGCAATGTGAACACTAGTATTAGTATAAAAGAACCAATGTTTCTGGTTTAAAGTCTCTTTTTGTTTTTCTCTGCTCCTTGGTTTCAGATAAAGTCTTAATTCAAATGAATTGTTAACCTGTTTTAGTTTTGCTTCACCAAAAAATGTCATGTTGACAGTACTAGCACTACATCTATCTTTTAACACAAGACTAATGTAATACCTACAGGAAAGCAGGGGCAAAGTGTCTGGTGCATTGTAAGATGGGCGTTAGTCGTTCTGCCTCCACTGTGATTGCTTATGCCATGAAGGAGTACGGCTGGGACCTGGAGCAGGCCTTTGAGTATGTTAAAGAGCGGCGAGTTGTCACCAAACCCAACCCATCATTCATGAGACAGCTGGAGGAGTATCAGGGAATCCTGATGGCCAGGTAAATGTGCCATTTGAATGTGTGTAGTCATGTGAATAGCAGGAAATGTATGTGTGCCTTCAAATATTTAAACCTGCAGGTATGCCACTTACTCTAATGACCGCAGACACGTTCCCTTCCATTTTAATGACATGTTTCTTTTCACAGTTGATTATAGGGCTCTGATTGTGTTCATTGAGAAGTTACAGTGGCTGTTCGACCACATTCCGCTTAGTAACTTGTGTGTCTTTGATTGTGTGCTTGCGTCTCAGAGGTTGTAAGTTTGTGCATGTGGGCTCTGGTGTGGGTGGGTATGCATGTGCAACAATGCACTTGCACTTCCTGTAAAATCACTGAATGGGATTATTCATGTTTTTTTAAGTCTGACAAAACCACTCAAGCCGTGAAATATTTTTTAAAGATACATGTTTATAAGATTTTTCTTTGACGTCTGTTTGACAGCCAAGCTTTCATAATTTTTTATCTTTCTGACCCATTATAAGCAGTTTAAAATGTTATTTGTGACATACTCAGTGGTGGCGGGTCATGTTGCTAAATACTTAATGTGTAAATGTAGGCAATTAAGTGATCATATATTATTGTTAAAATCAAAACTATGACTATTTCAGAGTGACCCATTTCTGCAGCTTAGTTTTCCTAAATGGTTTGCAGGTTTATGCAACTTAGAGTACACTACCATTCAAAAGTTTGGGGTCTGTAATTTAAAAAATATATATTTTTATATTACAAGGATACATTAAATTGATTAAAAGTGCCAATTTAAACATTTGTGATGTTAAAAAGATTTCCAATTTAAATAAATGCTGTTTTTGTTTTGTTTTTTACTCAAAGAATTCTGGGGAAAAAATGTGGCGCAGTTTCCACAAAAATATTAACCACCACAACTGATAATAATAAGAATGTTTCTTGAGCATTACATCAGCATATTAGAATGATTTTTGAAGGCTCATGCTACACTGAAGACTGGAGTAATGGCTGCAGAAAATTCAGCTTTGCCA